ATAAGGGGGGATATGATCTCCATGTATAATACATAAGGGGGGATATGATCTCCATGTATAATACATAAGGGGGGATATGATCACCATGTATAATACATAAGGGGGGGATATGATCACCATGTATAATACATAAGGGGGGATATGATCTCCATGTATAATACATAAGGGGGGATATGATCTCCATGTATAATACATAAGGGGGGATATGATGTCCATGTATAATACATACGGGGGATATGATCTCCATGTATAATACATAAGGGGGATATGATCACCATGTATAATACATAAGGGGGGATATGATCTCCATGTATAATACATAAGGGGGGGATATGATCTCCATGTATTATACATAAGGGGGATATGATCACCATGTATAATACATAAGGGGGGATATGATCTCCATGTATAATACATAAGGGGGGAATATGATCTCCATGTATAATACATAAGGGGGGATATGATCACCATGTATAATACATAAGGGGGGATATGATCTCCATGTATAATACATAAGGGGGGATATGATCTCCATGTATAATACATAAGGGGGGATATGATCTCCATGTATAATACATAAGGGGAATATGATCTCCATGTATAATACATAAGGGGGATATGATCTCCATGTATAATACATAAGGGGGGATATGATCTCCATGTATAATACATAAGGGGGATATGATCTCCATGTATAATACATAAGGGGGGGATATGATCTCCATGTATAAATACATCAGTGGTTCATATAGTGAACTCGGTGTAGAGTTATTCCCCCTGAGGTCATCACAGAGGACAAGGGGGCGCTCTTTACGTCTGGAGGAAAAGAAATTTAATCTCCAAACACGGAAAGGTTTCTTCACAGTAAGAGCTGTGAAAATATGGAATAGACTCCCTCAAGAGTTGGTTGTGGCCAGCTCAGTGGATTGCTGTAGGAAAGTCCTGGATTCTTTCTTGGATACACAGAATATAACTGGATATAACATTTATAGGTAAAGTTGATCCAGGGAATATCCGATTGCCTCTCGGGGGATCAGGAAGGAATTTTTTCCCCTACAGGAGCAAATTGGATCGTGCTTTGCTTGGTTTTTGCCTTCGTCTAGATCAACGGTTCTCAACCTGGGGGTCGCGACCCCTTTGGGGGTCGAACGACCATTTCCCAGGGGTCGCCTAAGACCATCGGAAAACACATATTTCTGATGGTCTTAGGAACCGAGACACCGCTCCTCCGTCTCAGGCGATGTGTGGGCAGGATGATACGCTGCTCCTGTCACCTGGCCACACCTCCAGGATCGCTCAGCAGCTCCGCCTCCTCGCCGCTGATTGGCCACCGGAACTGTAGCTCAGGAGAGGCACACAGGCGGCCAATCACCGGCGAGGAGGTGGAGCTTGGAGAGGAGGAGCCGAGCGGCAGCGCGCGTACATCAAAGAAGATCGAGGGAGCTGCCGGAGCGAGTGAAGAGGAGAGCGGCCAGAGAAGGAAGACAGCTGACAGGTAAGTGAGAGAGCGAGCCCAGGCTGGAGCAGGGGTCAGCAAAGTAAGTATCATTGGTGTCAGTGGGAGGAATAGTGCCCCATCATTTGTGTCACTAATACCAACGATGGGGCACTATTCCTCCCCCCACTGACACCAACGATGGGGCACTATTCCTCCCCCCACTGACACCAACGATGGGGCACTATTCCTCCCCCAACTGACACCAACGATGGGGCACTATTCCTCCCCCCACTGACACCAACGATGTGGCACTATTCCTCCCCCCACTGACACCAACGATGGGGCACTATTCCTCCCCCCACTGACACCAACGATGGGGCACTATTCCTCCCCCCACTGACACCAACGATGGGGCACTATTTCCCACCCCCCCTGACCCCAATGATGGGGCACTATTCTCCCCTCCACCACACTGACATCAATGATGGGGCACTATTCCTCCCACTGACACCAATGATGGGGCACTATTCCTCCCACTGACACCAATGATGTGGCACTATTCCTCCCACTGACACCAGTGATGGGGCACTACTCCCACTGACAACAGTGATGGGGCACTACTCCCCCCACTGACACCAGTGATGGGGCACTATTCCTCCCACTGACACCAATGATGGGGCACTACTCCCCCCACTGACACCAATGATGGGGCACTATTCCTCCCACTGACACCAATGATGTGGCACTATTCCTCCCACTGACACCAGTGATGGAGCACTACTCCTCCCCCACTGACACCAGTGATGGGGCACTACTCCCCCCACTGACACCAGTGATGGAGCACTATTCCTCCCACTGACACCAATGATGGGGCACTACTCCCCCCCACTGACACCAATGATGGGGCACTACTCCTCCCACTGACACCAATGATGGGGCACTATTCCTCCCACTGACACCAATGATGGGGCACTATTCCTCCCACTGACTCCAACGATGGGGCACTATTCCTCCCACTGACACCAACGATGGGGCACTATTCCTCCCACTGACACCAACGATGGGGCACTATTCCTCCCACTGACACCAACGATGGGGCACTATTCCTCCCACTGATACCAACGATGGGGCACTATTCCTCCCACTGATACCAACGATGGGGCACTATTCCTCCCACTGATACCAACGATGGGGCACTATTCCTCCCACTGACACCAACGATGGGGCACTATTCCTCCCACTGACACCAGCGATGGGGCACTATTCCTCCCACTGACACCAGTGATGGGGCACTATTCCTCCCACTGACATCAGTGATGGGGCACTATTCCTCCCACTGACACCAGTGATGGGGCACTATTCCTCCCACTGACATCAGTGATGGGGCACTATTCCTCCCACTGATACCAACGATGGGGCACTATTCCTCCCACTGACACCAATGATGGGGCACTATTCCTCCCACTGATACCAATGATGGGGCACTATTCCTCCCACTGATACCAATGATGGGGCACTATTCCTCCCACTGATACCAACGATGGGGCACTATTCATCCCACTGACATCAGTGATGGGGCACTACTCCTTCCACTGACACCAATGACATGGCACTACTCCTCCCACTGCAAAATTACAGTTATGAAGTAGCAACGAAAATAATTTTATGGTTGGGGGTCACCACAACATGAGGAACTGTATTAAGGGGTCGCGGCATTAGAAAGGTTGAGAACCACTGCTCTAGATCATCTGTGGGTATAGGATTATAACTTTTTTTTTTAACGGTTGAACTGGATGGACGTTTGTCTCTTTTTCAGCCAGACTAACTATGTAACTATGTGACCAGGCACTAAAGTATATTTAAATACAAACCTTTTTTAGTTCTGAATAAAGTGCAGAGGGATTAGAAGACCTGTCAGGTTTGTATGGCTGTCTGTGCCCCTGTTAGGGGAATTCACTCTCTTTTGTTCAAATATTTGATTGGCATTTTAACAGGGAGGAAAACAATGGACATTGGAGAGAGACATTTCTCAGACATATGATTACAATAATAGGCATCAATGACAATAGAGTCTTTACAAAAGAGGGAAGAGGAGGGGAATGATGGTTTGACAATATGACAGTTTTAGGGAACATAAGATGGGTGAAGCTAATGGCTTAGGTCCATACAAAATGTTAACAAGTAAATAGGCGCGCTCCCCAATGTTTCATAGGGGGATCATAACATAGGAGTGTAGACTTATACAGAATGGTCAGGGGGAAAAAAGAAAAAAAAGGGGGGTGGGATGAGTCAGCAAGGTCAGAGGGAGAATGGAGAGGGGGGGAATTCATTCTCTATTTGTCCTGCTTACCATTATCACCTACAGAGTAAGAAAATCCCACATTTTTAGGTTGTCACTACAAGAGGAATAGAGGGGAAATCTTCCAACGGGGACACCAGTCCTGCTGCCAATCAGGGATTACCTCACTTTGGAAGGATTTCATCTCTATTTTTGCTATGGGACAGGAAGTGAAAGAAAATCTCCCCAATAAGGACACTAATTTTGATGACCCTGGTGATGACCTGACTGTGGAGGGATTTCTTCGATTTTGACTATGGGACAGGCAGGGCTGGGACAACTGGTGCAAGGGGTGGGCAGGAGGGGAGCCTACCCTGGGCACTGGTATCATGTGAAGTAGGAGTACATCACAAGGACAGTGGGGGGGAGGGGATTTGCATTGGGAGGGGGAGTTTTGGGGGGAGCAGCTCTGAGGAAGGGGGTTTATCTCCCGAAACGCGTCAACTTATCCCCATTAAGGGTACAGCATTGTATTGACTGTCACTGCGGACCACATATTCTGCTTTTAATTTCCATTGATTTGTGAGTATATATCCATTTGTCTATTAATAAATATTATTATTATTATACAGTATTTATATAGCGCCAACAGTTTGCTCAGCGCTGTACAATACAATGGGAGACAAAACACGAGACAGTACAGTAACAATACAATACAATACACGAGGGGCTCGAGGGCCCTGCTCCTTGGAGCTTACAATCTAGGAGGGAGGGGATAGTGGTACAGGAGGAAATAGCTGGGGGGGATGGAGTGGTGGGAAGAGCGGAGCAGCAATTAGGTGAGGGTGGGGTAGGCTTCTCTAAAGAGATGTGTTTTCAGGGTGCGCCTAAAGGTGAGGAGGGTAGGTGATAGTCTGATGGATTGGGGTAGTGAGTTCCAGAGGATGGGGGAAGCCCTGGAGAAGTCCTGGAGATGGGCATGGGAGGAGAAGACCAGGGAACTGGAGAGTAGGAGGTCTTGTGAGGAGCAGAGAGTGCGTTTTGGGCGGTATTTGGATATCAGGTCGGTGAGGTAATTTGGGCAGTATTATGAACAGCTTTGTACGTCAATGTTAATATTTTGAATTTTATGCGTTGGGCAATCGGAAGCCAGTGGAGGGATTGGCAGGGGGGGGGTGGCGGATACGGAGCGGTTGGTAAGGTGGATGAGTTTGGCCGCAGAATTCAGGATAGATTGAAGCAGGGATAGGCTGTGTTGGGGTAGGCCAGTGAGGAGGGAGTTACAGTAGTCAATACGTGGTGTACCACGGTAATGCACCATGAGTGTGCGCCCTTGTCTGATTTTGTTCACTAGTGTCCAGATTTCCCGATCTTCGAAGGGCAGCACCACTCTATTTGGCATTCTGAATATTTTTTTTGTAGTCTGCATGAAGAGCGCTGGTTTGTTTGTCTTTGGATTGCACCCGCATTCACTGTATCAGTTCTCTTCGGACCCTGCATTCACTGTATCAGTTCTCCCCGGACCCTGCATTCACTGTATCTGGTCTCCCTGGACCCTGCATTCACTGTATCTGGTCTCCCTGGACCCTGCATTCCCTATATCTGGTCTCCCCGGACCCTGCATTCACTGTATCTGGTCTCCCCGGACCCTGCATTCACTGTATCTGGTCTCCCCGGACCCTGCATTTACTATATCTGGTCTCCCCAGACCCTGCATTCACTATATCTGGTCTCCCCGGACCCCGCATTCACTATATCTGGTCTCCCCGGACCCTGCATTCACTATATCCCGGTCTCCCCGGACCCTGCATTCACTATATCTGGTCTCCCCGGACCCTGCATTCACTATATCTGGTCTCCCAGGACCCTGCATTCACTATTTCCGGTCTCCCTGGACCCTGCATTCACTATATCTGGTCTCCCCGGACCCTGCATTCACTATATCCGGTCTCCCTGGACCCTGCATTCACTATATCTGGTCTCCCACAGTACACACAACATGGAAATGCAATTATTTTAGTAAATATAAACTGCTAAATACCTTTTCTCATCAGCAGTTAGATCAGTCGTGTGACTTCTATCAGTGTCCAGCAGAGCAATGGTTACAGCTTGTAGGATGAGTTTTCTTTCTGCTCTAGGAATATGCAGGACCCCCAGCCTCTGTCTGGTCAGTGCTGATTGGCCCTGTGCTAATCACATGCACTCTTCCAAGAAAAAAAAAAAACCCTCTCTAGCAATACGCACCAAACTGAGCATGTGCAGAGTGACTCCACACCATACGTCTTATCAGGAGATAAGAGGAGGACACTGGAAGAAGGGGAGGATCAGAGAAGTCAGGATCAAACAGCCTTTTTCACAATGCAGAGGATTAACCCCTTAGGTTCCACAGTGAGTATAACAAGCATGCTTTACTGCATCTACAGACTGATTGTACTGTTGTGAGTTTAGTAACCAGTTACCTCCAGTACATAAAGTGTTAATTTTCCATAATGCTGAGGACATAAGTGGGTGAAACGCTGCACATGTCTACAAAGTAACCGGACAGACTCCGCCCCCCCCCTTCAACTCACTACACCGAGCAGGCACAAGGCGAAAGAGGCGGGTTCGTCAGCCAAATAAAGACAAATGGGCGGGGTCACCGGTCTACGCTTGACGAAGGGCGTGGTTTCCACTAGCTAGCCACGCGGACAATCGTGAAGGCAATCCAGGCGGCGACCACGAAGGTGGGCGTGCCAAAAGGCAAGATGAAATAGAATAGGCGTGGCTTGAGACTAATCTATCCAGCAGCCTTCCTATAGCATTGCAAAGGGCGGAGACTCATTGTGGGCCGAAGGGCGGGGACACCTGTCCGTAGAAAAGCTAAGGGGGCGGGGTTTGGGGGATTATTGTAGCAAGTCGCTTTCCTGTATCGGTGGAGGGGCGTGGTTTCCTCTGTGTACCCGGTAATCCCGTACCGGCATCGTGTTTTGCTGGGCGAGAGGAGAATCAGCGAGGAGCGGAGAGAGGCCGGCCCGGGGGAAGGAGAAGAGCTCGGGGATCGGTGAGGAGAGGTGGCCGGGGGGGGGTGAGCAGACGACACGTGTCACATGTGTTACATCAGCCGCAGCGCTGGCAGGGCTGACATTTCACCGGGGCACCCTGGAGGATGACGTCACAGGGATGAGAGGATACTTTATTACCATTTTATTCTACAATGAATACATTGTACCAATTGTAGAGGAATACAGATTATAAATCATTCAATAATGTAGATATGAGAATCACAGGGGATCGATCGCTACCTTCATCATACAGATCACCCATTGGGCAGGACTTTTTTTTTTTTTTTTACTAAAAAAAATCAAAACATAAAAACTATATATATATCTATCAGGGGTGGACTGACAACTCATGGGGCCCCCGGGCAATAGGGGATCATGGGGCCCCTGTGTCCTTGCCCAAACTCAAAAAAGCCTATGAAAAAGGTACTAGGGGCATCTCATGGGGCCCCCTACTGACCCCGGGCCCTTGGGCAGTGTCAGAGTTTCCAAATGGTCAGTCCGCCCCTGAGATATATATATATATATATATATATATAATATCCACCAAAAACTCTCCCAGGTGGAGTCGCTAAAAGTTGGAAGGTGTCCTGGCTCCAATGGTGAAATCCCTTTTACATTATTTTTGGGTGGAGTTGACTTTTAGGCCTCCTATGTCGCGCACACACGACAAGAAAATCGTACAAAAGTTTTTGTACCTGGACCAATTGTCCGATAATCTGATCGTTAGTGCACAGCCTTCGAGAGCCGATGATGACAATTCATGCGGCAATATCTGAAAATCTTTCTCGTACAATATCAGATCGTATGATTTTCATTTAATCAGTTCAGTCGTAGTTGTGGATAAATGGTTAGCACTTCCGCCTGGCAGGACTAGGGTCACTGGTTTGAATCCCAACCGTGGCACCGCCTGCCTAGAGTTTGCATGTTCACCCTGTGCCTGCGTGGGTTTTCTCCAGGTACTCTGGTTTCCTTAAACACTCAAAAGACATGCTGGTAGGTTAATTGGATCCTTTCTAAATTGGGCAGCACAGTGGCTTATGCAGGCCATAGACTGGTCGAAAATCGGCCTTTTTAAAAAAAAAAGAAAAAAAAAAATGAAATCGGTCGGTCAATCGGCCGACGTTACCACCAATGGTAAAAGAAAATCGGCCGATTTTCATCCCATCTATGGCTGGCATTTAACCCCATAATTACTTCTGTCCCTTGCAGACACAGGGGAGCAATACATAAGAAGAAGAATTCCAGTCTGCTATTATATTTTATATGAAAAGTCTTGCGGTTGCAGCAATGTATCCATTTGTATCAATTTCAGATACAGATGGTTTTATTTGGATACAAATGGATACATTGTTGCAACCGCAAGACTTTTCATATAAAATATAATAGCGGACTGGAATTCTTATTTTTCTCTCTTCTTCTTGCAGATCACAGCACATGCGCAGATTTTTTTATTGGTAAAACGATCGGCCGATATGCCCATCATTGCCGGGAAAGTCGGCCGCAACTTTGCCAACATGCCTGATAAAAAAAAAAATGTGCAAAAAGCCCGAAAAAACGGCTGACTAATTAACCCATTAACGGTGCGAAAATCGTCTGATTTTTTTTTTTTTTTTTTTCCAGCCCAAAAAACGGCTGATTTTTGACCCGTCTATGGCCAGCATTACTGGTTAGCACTTCCACCTGGCAGCACTAGGGTCACTGGTCCGAATCCCAGCCACGGCACCACCTGCCTGGAGTTTGCATGTTCTCCCTGTGCCTGTGTGGGTTTCCTCCAGGGACTTCGGTTTCCTTCCCCCATTCCAAAGACATGCTGGTAGGTTAATTGGATCCTGTCTAAATTGGGCAGCACAGTGGCTTAATGGTTAGCACTTCTACCTGGCAGTACTTGGGTTGTTGGTTCAAATCCCAACCACAGCACCACCTGCCTGGAGTTTGCATGTTCTCTCTGTGCCTGCGTGGGTTTCCTTCGTGTACTCCAGCTTCCCTCCACATTCCAAAGACATGCTGGTAGGTTAATTGGATCCTGTCTAAATTGGCCCTAGTAGAATGTGAGTTGAGGGTTAGGGACTGATGTGAATGTACAATATATATGTAAAGTGCTGCGTAAACTGACGGCGCTATATAAGTACCTGAAATAAATCATCAAATAAATACATTACTTCACTTTCTAAATTTTTTTTTCTTTCGTATGAGAAGTTTAGTACCCTTTGCATTTTCAATATGCAGACTAGCATGCAACCCCCCCCCCCCAAAAAAAAATAAAACTTGTATGATCATTCGTCCGACATTCTTATCGTATGTACGGGGAATTAGAGATGCGGCAAAAGCAAAATGAAAACCGCATTTTAGCCCGGGTTCACATTCATGCGGTGCGGTATATCACACGTGATTCACACATCAACCGCACCGCATTCCTGTGCAGATCACATGTGATTTGTGTGCGGTGCGATTTGTATGGTTCTATTCGCACTGCACCCGCACTAAAAACGTGCAGGGTTCTTTTTTGGGTACGCACTAGAATCGGATCGTATGAGAATTCACACCTATGCAATCTGATTCTGCACATCGCACTGCATTTTGCAGACTGCTTTCGGGGTGTTGTTAACTTAACATACACATCCGCTGTGGTCCGCCCGCATGAACGGGGTGCGATTCTGATGCTGTGCGTAATTCGCACTGAAAACGCTGAGAATTCCGCACTGCATCAGTGTGAACCAGGGCTTAATTCCTCTATGGCGTTAACGCGTGTTTAAGACACATTTCGCGGTAATAAAGACCACCCGGATTCCAGTTGTTAGGCTTTTTCACAAAGGGAAGTGAATGCTGTAAATCGCGGTGGGGGGGTCCAGCCCGCGTCCTGTCTGGAGAGGCGCCGGGGATGTCGTGCAAACATAGAGGACAAACGCATCTGGAGGGATGCCGGGGCTGCCAGGTTTGCAAAAGCATCAGGAACGCAGGGGCACCAGGTAAATAAATGCTGCTTGGCTAGATCTAGGGGAGTGCTGGGGTGGGCTGCCCCCCCTCAAAGCACTCCGACTACAAGCCCCCTCCCCACACAACACATACATAGGCTACGTTGGCGATTATGGCAGATGCCAGTTGAATCGCCAGTTTCTTCTGTGGCTCTCAGCTGGTGACAAGCAGCACAATGATAGGTCACCAGCAGCCGCACCTATTCGTGGCTCTCTGCATAGCCAGCCATTACCTGTGCTGATCACTGCTGGACACACTAGGCTGCATCCAGCAACTTTCACCGCAGGTAATCACTGGCTGTGTATTATTACTATACAGGATTTATATAGGGCCAACCAGGGGCGGACTGACCATTTGGGAACTCGGGCACTGCCCTAGGGCCCAGGGTCAGTAGGGGGCCCCATGAGATGCCCCTGGTACCTTTTTCATAGGCTTTTTTAAGTTTGGGCAAGGATACAGGGGCCCCATAATCCCCTATTGCCCATGGGTTGTCAGTCCGCCCTTGGTGCCAACAGTTTGCACAGCACTTTACAACATATAGGGGAGACCGTACAATTACAATACATTTCAGTACAGAAGGAATAGGAGGGCCTTGCTCATGGAGCTTACAATCTAAAAGGAGGGGGAGGTAGTACAAAAAGTGATAGCTGCAGGGGATGAACTGATGGAGGTGGCTCAAGTACAGTTCTTAGGTGGAGGTGAGGTAGGCTTCCCTGAATAAGTGAATTTTCAAAGATCGCCTAAAGGCAGACAGGGTGGGGGCTGACTGGACATACTGGGGTAGGGAGTTCCAGAGGATGGGAGGGGCTCTGGAGAAGTCCTGGAGCCGAGCGTGGCAGGAGGTGACGAGGGAGATAGAGCGCAAGATGTCTTGGGAGGAGCGAGCGATTTGGACGACATCTGCGGATGAGGTTGGTGATGTAGC